CAGCCAGACACCCAGGAAAGAATTCTCTGTAGTAACTCAGATCCCACTCCCTCTAACATCCCATCACAGGCCATTGGGCAGATTTACCGCTAGTAGTCAAAGTTCAATTAATTGCCTGTTCCCAGGCTGGGGCGTAGCCCGGCCCTGGGGGTCTGTGACAGAGGGTCAGACATGCCCCTGCCCAGTGGCCCCAGCACTAAGAGGCCAGGGGTGAGAGCAGGAGGGAGGTTGATAAACTGGAGAGGGGTCAGGGAAGAGCTGCGGGAACGATCGAAGGGTTAGAAACCTGCCTCAGTGACCCGCCAGGAGCTCAACCTAGACCAAGGGAGGGTCCAAGGGGTGACGTGATCCCAGCCTAGAGCAGCGGCTGCTCCGCCTTTGTGGGCTCAGGGCCCATCTGTAAATGGCGCGACCCAGTAACTAGTCTGGGGGTGGGGGCCCTAGGGTGGTTTTGAACAGGTCCTGCCCCTCCAGGGGGGTTGGGGCCTGCCCGGCTCCTGTGCTGTGGGGGGGTTGGGCTTGGCTCTCTGCAGCCGGGGAGCTGTAGGTAGCCACGGACCCGCTACCTGCCCAGGGCATGGGGCGGGGCTGAGAGCAGGCCCTGACCTGTGTCCCCACCCCATGGTCCGGCTGTGGCTCTTAGGCCCCCAAGGGCCTGCCCCCCCCCGGCCAGGCTGGGAGTCGGAGCCAGGCCAGGGTAAGAGTCGCGCGGGCAGCTGTGGGGCGCCGTGGACCCTCCACCTGCCCTGGGTGGGCGGCCGGGGGGTCGGGGACACAGGGGCTGCTCTTCGGCTCCCCCACCCCGAGCAGGTGAAGGGGCCCAGCCTCCCTGGGCCAGCTCCGGCTTCTGGCTTGGCCAGGGGGTGGGGTCTCAGGGGAAGAGGAGGGGCAGGGGCGGGGCCGCGGAGGGGGGCCTCGTGGCCCCCCCACCTTTAGGAAGAATCCGTAGCCCCTGGCAGGGACCAAGAGGGAGCCCAGCCAGCCCCGTGGGACAGGAGCTGCCACACGACCCTTCGACACAGTCTGGGTCCCGACCCCCGGGCAGAGAAGCCCTGCTCTGGCAGTACCTCCGCGGGAACAAGCGTCGCCCAAGGGGCTGTGCGGGCAGGTGGAGGAAGGGCGAAGCCAAAGCGGTACAGATCCCCACTGGCAATGGGGGTCGGTGTTTAACGGGGAGGTAATTAGCCAGTGGACAATCCCCCGGGGCCGGGTGCTTCTCCGGCACTGACAGCTCAGTGCAGCCAGCTCTGCTCTGGGGCAGGTCTCTGGCCCGGGTCGTACGGGGGCAAAGCACATGGTCACGGGCCCTGCTAGCTGGGGGTTCTGGGGGGCTCTGTACAGCAGGAGGAGGCTGTTACCCTTGTGTGGCCCGGGGTGACTGTCCCTCACTCCAGGCACTCACCTTCGGCCCCCTCTAGCGCCTCTGGCCCCTCCGGCCTGTCCTCGTTGGCTCCAGCGTCTCCTCCATCCCCGCCCGCAAACCCGTCCATGTCGTCCTCACCCAGCGAGTCTGGGAGAGCGAGGGAATCCAGAGTCAGCACCCGTGCCGGTGGGGGCTGAGCCTGCCCCACCCTCCCCACTGAGGGTCCCTGGCCAGGCTGCCCCAGAGAGCCCAGCAGGGTGGAGGCGTGGGGCAGCCGGATAGGATGCTCCGGCCATGCCACCTGCACCCAGCTCAGCCAGTCCTGGAGTCCCTGCCAGGCATCCTGCCCCCAGCACACGCCAGCTGTGCACGGAGAGGGGCAGAAGCCGGGACCCACTGCCGGGGAGGGGCCGTGCTGGCAGCCACCCCAGGAGGCTGAGATCAATGCTCTGCCACCCCCTCCTGCGCCCCATCCCCCCACCTGCACCCCAGCCACACCCCCTCCAAGAGCCTGTACACCCTGGGCCCCACACCCCTCTGCGGGATCCCCCTGCCACAGCTAACACCAGCCCTGCCCCTGCCTTGGTGCATGTCAGACAGACACACAGACGGACGTCTGGGCCAAGCAGCGGCTCTGCCCACCCCGCACAGCACCCAGGGCCGGGGCTCACACCATGGCCCCAGGAGGACCCGCCGCTGCCACACCCCCTGGGTCACCTGTCTGGAATTCGATGGTTCTCAGCATCTCGGCCAGGTTGTCCACATTGACAGAGAAGTGGTCCATCTTCTCGTAGCCGGGCTCCGGGCGGCTACTCATTGACACCTTCGACGTGTCCGTGATCCTGCCAGGCAGAGCCGGGGGCTTGTCAGACTCACAAATCTTCACTCAAAGCCAATGCAGGGCATCAAGCCTGACTCCGTGACACCCCTGCACAGCCTGACCAACCCCCCCACCCTCTGGGATTGAGGGGGGCAGCAGAGCTGTGTGTGGGGCGCCCAGGGCTGGGGTACCAGGGGGCCGTGGGACGGGATGGGGGCACTGGCAGAGCTGTGTGTGGGGCGCCCAGGGCTGGGGCGCCAGGGGGCCGTGGGGCGGGATGGGGGCACTGGCAGAGCTGTGTGTGGGGCTGGTTTGGTGCCTTAGTGTGCAAAGGACCCCCAGCCTGAGGCTGTGACTGCCCTGCTCTCAGCAATCTGTCGTGAACTGGCGCTCTCCGTTGGGTCCCGCCAGAACCAGCATCGTTACAGCTGCATCGTTACCCAGCGAGGGGAGGGCTGGGCACCCCCAGGCAGGCTCAGGCACAGATGGGAATGGCGCCCGCCCCGTAGCTGGGACTACGTGGGTCATTGGGAACCAACTGGCTGAAGCCAACCCCGGATCAATGGAGAATCCATGGCAACGCTGGCAAATCTAATTGTGGGACATGGACACCTGGCCCCACCTCTCCGCAGGAGCCGAGCAGCGGCTCCCCAGCTGGGGAACAGGGGCTGGGAGGTGCGAGGGGGGCTAAGAGCTGGGGGCTGGCAGGAGTCGGGGGCAGGGCTCTCACCTGGAGTCTGACCAAGGAGGTTGGATGAGACAGACAGAGCTTGAACCACGGGAGTCACTGCAGCTGGGCTGGGCTGTAACCGTCAGTTCTCTGGGCCGCCCAAGGGGCTGCCTGGGCCGTGTGCCAGGTGACTAATAAACCCACCTGGTCTGACAGCGCTGGGTGAGTGTCCCTGCAGACGCTGGGCGAGGGGCACTGATCCCTGAGGAGAGGACACGTCTCCCCCAGGGTCTGTCCCAGACTCGCTGCCCGGCGCTCCCGGGGTGGGGCAGGGGGGCTGCAGGCTCAGGGGCCCAGTCTCAGGAGGCGAGGAGGCCACGTGGCTCACCCTGGGGGAAGAGTGAGACCCGGGGGGGGGGGCAGGGTCACTGAAGGCTCCTCCCAGAGACTGTTCCCAGGCTGGCGGCTTAGCACTGGCCCCATGGATCTGTGACTCTGCCCCAAGGACCCCCGACCCCTACAGGGATGGGCTCCAACCGGAGGTTTCTCTCCTCTGTTGTCTCCCCCCACCCCACCCCCCAGACTTACTTTTTAAGCAGCTCCTTGGATTGCTGCAGGGAGGGAGAGGCAGAGAGCTTGGTTAGCATCAGCCCCTGCTCCTGGAGCCCAGCCCCCGCCAGCCCCCTGAGCCCACAGGCCCTGGTCCATCAGCTGCAGGCTGGCACTGGCATTGGCACCAGCTCTGGCTGGGGGCAGGCTCAAGACCAAGTTTCCCTTCCAAGCGGCCTGTAGGATGAGCAGCCATCGGGCTTTACCCCTCAGCCAAGCAGGACCTTCTGGCTGGGGTAGAGAGGCAACCACAGGCGCCCGTGGCCTAGCAGGCCCCTGCCCCCGAGCCCTTTGCCCATCCCAGGAGGATGGTGCCCACGGCTTGGCCAGATCCCAGCGTGGAGAAGCCCCTCTCCTGCCCTCCCCTTCCCAGACACCCCCCTCCCCGCACAGACCTGCAGGTACGCGGCCATCTGGGGCTCCTCCATGGCCTGGATGGCCGACTCCACCAGCTTGGCGGAGATCTCCAGGTGCTCCCCGTACTGGCGGATGAGGGAGCGCACGTGGCTGACCCGCTCCTCCTGCTCCCGGCTGACGCGCTGCACCAGCTCCTTCTTCCGCTCCTCCAGGGTGCTGTAGAGGGAGTCGAAACGCTGGCTCAGGTGCTGCTTCTGCCGCCGACTGTTCTCCTGCAGGGGGAGCCGCACGCACATCACTGGAGGGGCTCAGGGGCCACCCCCCCTCCAGCCCCACAATAGCCCCCGCCTCTTCCATTGACCTCCACCAGGGAACAAGGGGGCCAGTGGTCAGGGCAGGGGGCTGGGAGCCAGGACTCCTGGGTTGGATTAGCCGTCAGGTCACTGACTCGCTGGGGCTGTTCCCTTCTGTTCTCCAGAGTCAGGAGATTGCCCCCCTGACCCCCGTGCTGTTCTGGCCAGAGACCTCACCCAGCGATTCCTGCATCAAGCCCCGCCGTGCTGGTTGGGCCCCAGCGGATCCGTTACAGATGCCCGGCCTGTGACAAAGTGGGAATGTTCTTAACGTTTTTTCTGAATACGGTGTGTGCCTCAGTTTCCCCTGTGTGTTACTCGAGGATCTAGGTGGCGGGATCAGGGTGTGTGATCATTGTAGAGGCCCCTCAATGGCAGGTCTGACTGCTCCTAAGAACGGCCATACTGGGTCAGACCAAAGGTCCCTCTAGCCCAGTGTCCCGTCTTCCGACAGTGGCCAATGCCAGGTGCCCCAGAGGGAATGAACAGAACAGGTAATCATCAAGTGATCCATCCCCTGTCGCCCATTCCCAGTTTCTGGCAAACAGAGGCTAGGGACACCCTCCCTGCCCATCCTGGCTGCCTGGGCCCAGAAAAAAGCCGACACTGTATCCTGGCAAAGGAGGGCCGGGCCCCCTCCTCTGCAGCAGCCGGGCGGAGGAGTTGGTGCAGCCCAGGTGACCTGCTTGCTGGAGAAAGAGACAAAGGATGGAGGAGGAGCAATGGAGGTGAGGAGACCAGGCAGCTGGAACTGGTCAGTGTCGTGCTTTGAGACCCAGAGGGGGGAGTCCGGCGCGCTAGGCCCTGGATCCCGCTAAGATGGACTTTGCTGCTGTAATCCGGGTCTGGATGAATTCTGCCGACAGCCAGCGGGGAGCAGGAGAGACGTCAGGAGCAAACCGTATTTACATGAACACCCCAACTCTGCGTCGGTATCCAGCAGACAGAGCGGTGCTGCTCAAAGTGATCAGCTTTGGCCGGCGTGGGGTACAAATCATGTTAGTACTGACTTCAGGGGGAGTGAAATGTTGTTGTCTTTATTGTATGAATAAAGGGGAGCAGAACTGTGCTTAACCTGTCCCAACTGAGGGGTCACCTTCAGCTGAAAGCGCCTCGGTACGCCAGGGGCTTGAATGCCAGAGCCCTGGAAAGTAAGAGAGGGTGGGGACAGGGATCTCAGCCAGGAAGTGTGGCTTCTGTCTAAGGGTGCCTGGTCAGGTTTAACCTGTTCCTCCCCATTGTTTAAAACTAGAGCTAAATAGGTTTCATTAGAAGCCTTTTGTTATGTTAAATGCTCAAAATAGCTGAAATCACTTGCAGTGGGTCAGTGTCTCTTCCCAGCCGGCTGAGAGCTGGGTGGCACCTCCAGAGATGGACTGCAGAGGTCACAGCAGGGTGGTAGGAGGTGTCCAGTGAGTGGAACCACGGCTGGTGGGGTGGCCAGAGCAAGTGCTCTGATGGCAGAGCAAGCAAAGTACCTTCTTCCCCGGGTGGGACGGTAACTCACACAGATGCACCTCTGAACGCTGGGTCCTCTCTGACCAAGGACAAACCCTGTGAGTGGGGTGTGGTGAGGGAGCAGAGAGGGGCATTCTAAAGGAGATTTTGGTTGTAGGACTCTAGAACATGAGGCGGAAGGCACTGCCCTCTGGGGTGGGCGTCCTGCTCACAGTGTTATGTGTATGAAACCTGCTTGTGGCATTTTCCCTAATTAATGTCAGGTGATTTCCCTCCTTTCATTAAAAGTTTCTTTTCTACACTCAGACTCTGTGCTTGCAAGAGGGGGAGTTTTGCCTCTCAGAGGCTCCCAGGGGTGGTGTGTAATTGTCCCAGGTCACTGGGTGGGGGCTTGAGCCTGTTCTGTGTTGGATGTATGAAAAGGAACCCCTCGATACTGAACCCGGTGTCACGGAGTATGGGGGGACTCAGGGCCCTGCACCCCCGGCGTCCT